GTTTCAGGGTAGCTGGGGCAACAGGGAGACCCTGACTGAAACAAAGAAAAAAACAAACAGAAAGCCAAAGCTAAACAAGAATCCCAAAATAATGTCAACCATTTTTGTTAGTCATCAACTATTCCAAAAAATCAAGGCAGAGCCATTAATTATTAAAAGAGAAAATAGTCAATACAGACGAATTTAAAGAGGCCAAGGCCTTTTACAAAACATTTTTAAAATATGCTAGAAGAATGAAAGGAAGGCATTATGCTTAGAAAATAATATTAATAAGAGCCAAGTGCCACTTCCAGAGATTAACACACAATATTTGCAATGAATAATTCCATGGATGGGATTCTCAGCAGATCAACACTGCAAAAGAACAGAAAGGTGAATTTGAAGACACAGCAAAACAATCATCCAAAGACTAGTAGGGGAAGACCAAAGAACTCAGGAAGAACCAGAGCCTTGGAGATCAGATGAGGGGCTCTGGGAGAGAACACACAGAAACTGCTTTACACTGGAATCTTCCCCTGGCACCACACACCTTCTAAGCCAATCCAATCCTAATAGAAGAAAATGACATCAGCATGTTTGTCTTTTATGTAACTCTCTGTAAGAGCACTCAACAGTTTAGAGAAGATGAAACACTTTAGAGTTTCCAGCCTCTAAAAATGACTAGACCTGAAGTTTCCTAGCAAATCCAGAAGTACTATTATTGTATTGAAATAATTAAGCAATAACACTGTAGGTTACATAGTACAACCTTACATAATACAAATTCATGTTCTTACAAACTGGCTCGACCACCTGAGTAACTGGAAAGCGGGTTCTGTTTTCTCTGCTGCAGTTCAGTAGAAACGGCATTGATCAATGTCTGCTACTTTTTTTTTCCCTTTTGTAGCTGCTTGTGTTAGTGATCTGTACTCATGGGACATACACACTGCAACAAATACTTCTGCTGAAAACTGAGAGAGAAAAATTACAGTGATAAATTCAAAGATACAACAAGAAATGTATTGTTGGTTATTAAACAGACTCCAAATCAGGATTCAAAATGGAAGGTTGATCTTGCAAAATGTTCAGAGGTTTTTGGTTCCCAATGCCTCACAGTCAGCTTGCGTTGCCCAATTTCTCTCAGGTTCCTCTAACCCTTTTATGTGCTCTCTGACATCCATGTTTTCCTTCTGCTCATTGCACAAACACTCAAATTTGCTAATGTCTACTACATATTAATAAACTAACATCGATAAGTGAATTTTTCTTGTTTGCAGACAATATTTGGCTTCCAGAACAACCTCTAGAAAGAAGCAGCTATGTTTTGGTATGCTGCCCTGAAATTTTTTGTTTGATTTTATTTCACTGACAGACTCTTCTAAATTGGGGTAATAAAAGGATTTATCATGTATTGTTTGATATATTTAATTAAGTGGTATTTATGGTTGTATTGGGTAATTTTGCATTATCAAATGATGATGCATCCTTCATCCTTAAATGGTGCTTAACTGTGTACTTTGAAATAATTTAAAAATACTAAAACACTTAATAAAAATAATTAATAAGGTATTTACTTATGACTTTCCAAACTTTAAAAAATATTAGATAGGTTTACAACTATTTTACAAATGATTTAGGAAATATTTTCTGTGTACTATTAAAAATTCCACATACTCTCACAGAATGACAGCAGGAAAACCACATTCATTATCCAGGGTATTAAATTTCCAAGACCAAATTGTTTGCTTAACAAAACTGACCTTTACAAAAGGTCAAAACTTTAATATTTTAGAAATAGTTGTGCCACAATTTAAATGAATGGAAGAATTTTGGAATTTAAAAGAAATGCTAAGTAGCTCTCATTTCTCTCGTTTTTTCCCCATGGGGACACAGTCTCATAAATCATTTTTGCACTAATGTGCTTACCCGATAGCTGGGTTAAAGTTCTTCAAAATAATGATGAGCTCTCAACGTTTCCATGTGCTGCTTTCCTGTCGGCCCTTCTTCACTTGCTATTAGATGCTGTGATTATTCTCTCCCTCAAATATCCATCCTGCTAGTCTAGGATGGTTAAAACCACCCTCTTTCATTTATCCAAACAGATATAGAAGGACTGATGAACACAAGCTGTTATTTTAAGGATTTGTCCAGCTCCAGCATTCCTTCACCAAGTCTTAAAATCTTTACTCTCATACCCTTACTGTCTATACTAATATTTGTCCTTAAAAGTTAAAGCTTTAGAACTAGGTGAAAGGGAAAATAGTATTAAAAAGATTTTTTTTCCCTGAGGCATAATACAAGAGGTAACAAATATAAAGAATTGTTTATTGCCCCGATTAAACATTGAAATTTTCTGGGGGGAACTTAGAACATTACTCATGCCTACAGCCAACATCCAGAAATCTTGTTTTAATTGGTTTGGGGTGCAGGCTGGACATGATTTTTTTTGAAGGTTTCCCGAGGATTTTAAACTACAACCAATGTTGAGAGCCATTGTCTATGTTTATCTCCAACTTGACTGTTTTGTCATCAAGTTAACTGGATCATCTGTCCCTAACATTGATTCAAATCAATGGTTGTATTTAATAACTCTAGTCCCACACATTCAAACTCAGCCTGTGTGACATCAAACTCAGAAATTTTTTTTAGTGTTGCGATTTTAATGTGACGTCAGAGTTAAGCCTTATTGCTCAAGATCCAAGATGCTTAACATTGCAGGTTGGGAAAGCATGGAACACTGCCGTTCAGCGTACTGTCATATTTCCATGAAAAGCTGTACCTTCTGCTCACTAGAAGAGTTAATTTGTCACAAATTGTTAAAGAACTAAAGTAACTAAATCAATTTTGTTCTAAAAATTTGTAGCAGCAGTCTTTTTGTTGTTGTTTGTATGTTTTGCTTTGTTTTGAAGCTTTTGGACAATTTATTAGAATTTTAAAGACAATTCTCAGGGCAGGCGAGCTGGTAATCTTGGCAGCTGCCTTGAGGAGGAGAATTGGAGGGGAGAAGGAAAGAAAGCCATGAAGTCATGCAGGTGTAGAGCATACATGGAGATGGGGCACACGGCTGACTGGCAGCCACATGGCCGGGAGAAGGAAGCTTTAGAGAAAAAGTGAAGAAATACAAGATGCTAGGGCAGCCCAAAGCATTAAAGAAAGCATGTTTAGAAAAGGGATATGAACAAGAAAAGGACAGATTACATTAGAAAAGCAGGCAGACTTACAGAGACCTACATTCTATGGCTGGGTCTAGAGGCACTGCAAGTTAATTTTTTGAGACAGGGTCACCCAGTAGCTACAGCTGGCCTGAAACTCGCTATGTAGAACAGTCTAGCCTCAGTCTTGCAGAGATCTGCCTGTCTCTGCCTCTGCTTTGCCTCCAGAATGCTAGGATTAAAGGCTTGGATCACCACACCTGCCTGCCTGCATGTCTTTAAAGGGTAAAGAGAAATACATTTAAATATCAGAGCTTATTTGTGCATTCAGCAATTGATGCAAGCGATTGCTTCCTCATGCAACCAAGGGTATGAGAGCACTACAAAAGGGGACAAAGCAAAACAGAGAAGGTACTGACAGTTTCTGACCAATAATGGGTGTTTGGTTTTACAGTTTATGTTTTGTTGGGCTTTCTCTGCTCAGATAGCAATGCAGAGAGTTACAGAGATGGCTGATGGCTTCTTAGTTATTTTGAAAACAATATTACTTCAGGATTTGCTGGGAAATTTTTAGGTCTAGACAATTCTGCCAGTGAAGAGCGTTACATTTTTGGCCAAATTGGCCACTGTGTTTTTGCAAGTGAGCAAGAGGGGAATTCATAGTTGCTTTGAGCATGTTTTTGTTGAGTTAGTGACACTGGTTAGAATAAAAGGACATTCAGACTTTCCTGTTCATTATTCTTTTAAAATATTTTATTATTTTATTTTATGTGTTTGAGTATATTGACTGATATATGTAAATACATCCCTGATATGCAATGTGCAAAGAAGTCAGAAAAGGGCATCTAATCCTCTGCAACTGAAGTTACACACCACAGGTAGTAAGCATCACCATGTGGGCACTGGGAACCAAAACCCAGTCTGCTGGAAATGTAGCCAGTGTTCTTAACTGATGAGCCATCACTCCTCATTATACTTTTTTTTTGAGAGAGGGGCTCTCTGTAGCCCAGGCTAGCCTGGAATTCACTATGTAGACCAGACTGGCCTTGATCTCAGAGATCTGCCTGCCTCTGCCTCACCAAGCTAGGATTAAAGGCCTGCACAACACCAACTGGCAGCCCTATTATTCTTATTAAAGAATGTAAATGGCTCAAGTATTATGTTGTTGCAATAAAGAAAAGAAAATCTTGGCCGGAGTTGTGTCACAGGCCATTAATCCCACACTCAGGAGGCAAAGGCAGCCTTATCTCTGATCCAGGAAGGACTTAGCTACACAGAGAGTTCCAGGCCAGCTGGGGCTACAAGGAGATGCAGTATCAAAAAACCAACCAACCAACCAACCAAAAACAACATTCTGAAAATTACTGTCTTGTGATATGAGAAGGCCACGTTTGAATTTTGCGAGGAGGTGAGGTAGATTTTTAAAAAGATGGAATCTGAAAGTGAAAAACGTAAATTTTAGAAATTCAGGTGTGTGAACAACAGAGATGGCTCAGCAAGTAAGAACAGTGTCTGTTCTCCCAGAAGACCCTGGTTCAATTCCCAGGAGATGCAATGTCTTCGGTCCTCCGCCTGCATTGCACGATGCTGGTACCCTGACACACATGCAGGCACAATACTCACAAACAGAAAAATAAATAGATCAAAAACGAAAAAAAGATCCTGGCATGGAGGGTGGGGCTTTGAGCAAGTAGCACAGGCCAGGAGCAGAGTCCCCAGGGCCTGCTCAGTCTCAGGCTGTAGGTGCTGCACCAGAAGCGCTTCCGCTCATGCGCATTTCCTTCCTCAACAATCCCGGGCCTTGCCTTCCGGAAACGCTCTGCGGTGGCCTGCGGAAGTCGCTCCACGGCGGCCAGTCGGCCCCCGACCATGGCCAGCAAAGCCAAGCCCGACGCCGAGACCCTACAGGTCCCTTGGGGCCACCCGCGCCTCCAGCTCGGCACAGCGGCGGGCTGCAGCGTCGCGGAGGTGATGGCCGTGCTGTTCTTCCACACCGTGAGGTACAAGGGGGGACCCCGAGCACCCGGACAACGACCAACTGGTGCTGTTCGGGGCCACGCGGCCCCCATCCTGTCGGGGGGGCTGCTGGAGGTGGAGCGGGGCGGCCGGGTGGACTCGGTGAGCCGGGAGAAGGTGCCCTGCGAGCTGGACCGACAGCCTGGCCCTCCGCCTCATTCGTTCGCGCCCGCCTCCGCTGGGGGCCCTGGGACAGGGGCTGGGTGCGGCCTGCGGGGTGGCCTCTGCGGGCAGGTACTTGGACAGGGCCGGCTACCAGGTCTTCTGCCTCCTGGTTGACGGCGACTGTAGTGCTCCAAGGCCTTGGCCTTTGCCGCCCACTCTGGCAGGACGACCTGGTGGTGATCCTCGAGGTGAACGGCCCGGGGCAGAGCTCACCTCAGACGGACATGGCTACCATCAAATGACCTGTCCTCCGGATTACGGCCTGGGGGACAAGAGAGCGACCTGCATGCGAAGCTTAGGGTCTGACTGGCTACTCTGGGCCACGCTCACAGGAGGTTCGTTCTTGTTGGGAACACCAAGAACTCTACCTTTTCTGAGCTCTTCAGGGAACAACAGGAGCCCCAGCGCTTCCTAGAGCGCTTCATTGCCGAACCAAACACGGTCAGCGTGTTACTGGGCTGTGCCACCCGCTTTCATGAGCACCTTTGCCGCCTTCTTGACCCAAGCCTTTGACCAGTTCCGAATGGGAGCCGCCTCTCGAGCCAACATCAACCTTACTGGTTCCCACTGTGGGGTGTGCCTTGGAGAAGATGGACCTTCCCAGATGGCCCTGGAGGATCTAGCCCTCTTATGAAGCATCCCCAACTGCACTGTTTTCTATCCCAAGTGATGCCATCTCCACAGAGCACACTGTTTGCCTGGTGACCAACACCCAGGGAATGTGCTGCATTTGGACCAGTCGACCCCGGATTTACCCTCCAGAGGAGAAATTTGAGAGCAGGCAGGCCAAGGTGATCTGCTGGGCTGCGGACAGCAAGGTCACAGTTATTGGAGCCGGGTCACTCTGCACTAAGCCTTACCTGCTGCGCAGCTTTTTCAACAAGGACTTTCTATCGGTGTCATTGACCCCTTCACTATCAAACCTCTGGATGCCTGCCTCCATCGTGGCCAGTGCCAAAGCCAGGTTGTCACAGTGGAAGATCACTACAAGACGGAGGCGTCTGAGAAGCTGTGTGTGAAGCCCTCTCTGGAGAAGCCGGTGTCTGTGGTCATCACAGGAGTACTTTGCAGTGGGAAACCCCGGGAATTGCTGGATCTCTTTGGTTTCAGTGCCAGACACATCATCACAGCTGTGAAGGACACCTTCATTTGCTGGTCAATGAAGGCCCTGGAGGGGCCTTGGTCTTCCTTACAGATATGTTTGTATTAAATTTATACCCGTTAGAAAACCATGTCCAGACCCCTACGTTTTGAAAGCATAGTCTTGTAACACCCTCACTTCTGGTGAAAGACTAGATAAACATCTGTTACACCCTTTGACAGATGTCACTCTTGTTTCCAGTGGCAGTGAAAGCTCTTTGGGTTACCTCGCAGCTAGCCAACTGTTATATAAAGAAATAAAGGGATACCCACTTCTAGATTGTGCCTTATGTATCAGGAACTTGTTTTGTGAAAACTGGGGAATTTAGATTTTTGTTTTTTTTTTTTGTAAACAAACCAGTTTGTTGGTCATTTTCATCAGGAGACAATAGATTTAATAAAGCATTTTAAAGCAAGCCATTTCATCTTGGTGGCATATATATGAGAACTCTGAATGTAAAGAAATTTGTCTCTAACTCATTGAGCAGAGAACCAAGTTCCCCAACAACAAACCTCTGTCAAGTTGATCATTGAAAGTATTCTCTATAGAACCATGGGTGGCCTGTGAAAAAAATCCCTGCTTTTACCTCTTAAGGTAAATTTTTGTAAATGGACCCTAAAGTGAGGCATAGCCTATTTAAAACAGTTTAGGTCACTCTTGATTGTCTATGTCATTCAGGTAGTTTATCTTTGTTACTTTTATGAATCGACCTCATTTCTTTGGGGGCATGACCAGTTTGTCTTAGCACTTGTTGGGGTTGTTTTAGGTATAAGGCAAAGAGTATCCTGGGAATTGGAAAAACCAAGCCTGACTGGCTCTGCTACTGCCCTTTCCCTCTGCTGGTTTTCCCTCTCACAATAATAACTGTTTTGCATAAGGTTCTTAAATGATTTTGAGAAGCTGGAGAGATGGCTTGGGGACTAAGAGCACTGGCTACTCTTCCAGAGGAGCTGGGTTTGAGTTTGAGCACCCATATGGGGACTGTGGTTTGTAAATAAATAAATAAATAAAATTTTAAAATGTCATGCTCAATACTAGCTTCCTGTGATAAGAGAATGTCCACTTTTGAATTTTGCATTAACAATAGGAATCTTTAATGGACTGCTTTCAGTAATGGACTGAGCAACTAGAAAAAAAAAAGAAATTCAACTTGAAGACTTGAACCATGCCATAAGCCTAATCATACCTAAGGGTCACATGCAGAACACCTTTCCCAACAACGGTCTAACACATTTTTCTCACGTGCACATGAAATATTGTCCAAGGCAGATGTTACATTAGACCACAGAATAAATCTTAATAAAATCGTTGATTTTTAACTTAAAAAAAAAACTGAGAATTTCATACATGCCTATAAGGTATTATGATCAAATTCAAACCCACTCCCTTCTCTCCAACGCCTTCCATATCTCCCCATCACTTTTTTTCTGACAACTTTGTGTACTCTTTTTTTCTTTTTCTTTCTTTCTTTCTTTCTTTCTTTCTTTCTTTCTTTCTTTCTTTCTTTCTTTCTTTCTTTCTTTCTTTTTTTTTTAAATAGGGCCTTTTGCTACTCTAACATTCCCCCCTCTGAAGAGGTAACCCTAAAATCTTTTAAGGATTAGATACAAGCTCCCAAATACTTTCGACATTTTTGGCTTTTGGAACAGAGTATGTTGGTAACAAGCCCAGGGGTATTTTGGCTTTTAGCCCAGAAACTAGCTACTTTTCTCTGGGGTCTTTTACGCTAACTGCCTAACCAATTCCTACCTCCTATTCTTATCACACCATCCTCTGAAGAGGTTACCCAGTTTGCAGACAGGGACACAGACTGCTTTGGTTCTTCCATGCTGAACAGGAACACAGAGTGAGGCAATTGGGTTACCCCTTCAGTGGAATCTTTAGATAAAATCATGTTTTAAAAAATACTGTTTTTGTCATGATGGAGTAGGCCGAATAATAGAAAGCTGAAAATTTCATAAATATGTGGAAATTAAACAAGAAACTTAATGACTCAAAGAAGAAATCAAGTGAAGTTTTGAAACCTTGAAAGAAATTCAAACAAAACCCCAAACCCATCTGTCTAGTCAGGAGATCCTAAACTGTATAAAAGTGGAGAAATCAAGTCAAGCACAAGCAAGCATACATGGATGCATCTATTTCTGTTCTTGACTGTGTTTGTGATCTGACTAGCTGTTTGAAGTTCCTGCCTTGACTTCCCCAAAATGATGTACTGTAATGTGAAAATGTAAGATGAAATAATCCCTCTCCTAAAAAAATATTGGCTAAAATAAGAAATTGAAATGTAAGTCTGTTATTTCTACCAAAACATGCAAAAACAAACACTTAATAGTGGCAGTAGATCTGAAAATTTTAACATCTAATGGAATCTCATAGACCACTAGGTAGTATAGTATTAAGTAGAAAAGTGCATAGACTCTTAAGAATTGTTACTCAAAGGTTCCACAAAGTATTGCTAGGAGGCTGTCAGTTGTGTAAAGAGATTGGGAGTGAGATTTATCATGTGCTTAAAATTCCTTAAATGACAGACTCACGTCCAATTTTGTTATGTACCGAGTATTCTGCAGCATTGAATCTATCCTGAAGTTTTCTAACTTGTAGGTATCTTAAGAGAGAATCACCCTGACTAATGCTAACCACTGCTGCCAAAAAATGAAGATAATTGTTTTATTGATTTCTTTCATAAAATGATTAATTACTTTGCTTTTCATAAAATTTGTTTTAAAATTTTTAATGGATTAATTATTTTTGAGACATGGTTTTGCTATGTAGCTCAGGATGTCATGAAACTATCATTGACTTTCTGGCCTCTATGTCCAGAGTGTTGGGCTCACAGGAGTGTGCCACCATGCCCTGCTGATGATCGAGTTTTGGTAAACAACATAGCATGACCACTGGTTCAACTCTGATATTCTATTCATGGCTTTGTCTAGAAGAAGATCTTTTAGATTATCAAGAGAGCTTGGTGATACTCCATGGAGAGCCATGACATCACGGTTGACTTGTTTATGAGTGGATTAGCAAAAGCCAGTGTGAGAATGACTGTGGCTATTCACCAGGGTAAATGGCTTCTGGTTAGCTCATGATTTCTTGACTTGTATGGATAATAAAAGATTGAGAGTGAAGATTTATTTTCATTTTACTCTAAGTTTCCAAGTGGTTAAAAAGTCCAATTGAAGCTCCGGGTATGGTGGCACACGCCTTTAATCCCAGCACTCGGGAAGCAGAGGCAGGCGGGATCTCTGTTTCAAGGACAGCCTGGTCTACAAAGTGAGTTCCAGGCTAGCTGGGGCTAGAGGGAGACCCTGACTATAAAAAGACGACAAAAACAAAACAAAAACAAACAAAACAAAAAGCCATGGACTTAAAGACAGCTGGGACTACAGGGAGACTCTGTCTCAAAAACAACAGCAACAACAACAAAAAGTCCAACTGAGATGACTGTTTGGGAAAAATAGCTTTTTAAACAAAAAGTAAAAGACCTGATATTTATGATTTTAAAATTATTGAAGAGTGCTGGATTTGACAACTGGGGTCTATATGCTCAGCTACTGGGGAAGCTGAAGCAGAAGGATGATCACTTCTAGGCCTGGCTGGGCTACAGTGAGTTGAAGACCAACCTTGTCAACTTGTCTTGAAATAAAGGATTGATAAAGACCTAGGGATAAGATCACTGGTAAAGCATCTGCCTCCTGTGTGCATTACTCTAGGTTTAATCCTCAGTGCTGGGGCTGAAGAGATGGCTCAGTGGTTAAGAGAACTGGCTGGTCTTGCAGAGGATCCAGTTTTGATTCCCAGCACCCACATGGCGGCTAATAACCATCTGTAATGTCAGTTCCAGGAGAATCATGCCCTCTTCTGATCTCTGCAGGCACCGCACAGCACAGTGTGCCTACCTACATTCAGGCAATACACTCATACACAGAAAAATCCTCAGTGTTACAAAATTATTGAAGAGTGATGTGAGTTATTTAATAAAATCTAGTTCTCCAAAAGTCCACTCAACTGTACAGAAATTAATTCTCTAGGACCTCATAAGACAGTCTGGTTTGAAGGGTTGAGAAGAACTGATCTGTTTCTATCATGATATTGTAAAGGAGGCTGTGAAGCATTACTGGAATAGGAAATGTATGTACTGTAAGAAAATCTCTTCCTCTTGCACATAGGGCAGAGCAGGGACACTGAATCTGTTATCTTGTTCACTGATAGGGGAGTCTCTAAGAAAATTGCTTAGGATGTTTGGAATTAATTGTAACAGGGTAGATAGGCATTTCCTTGTTGGGTTGGTTGCCAATTGGATAGACTTACTTCCCTGACCATATTGCTATGTGGTTAGATGAAAGCAGGTTGAGAAACACTGGCAGCTGGCAGAATCTGTTGCCACATGCACAGAAAGTTGAGCTTAGTTCTGTATTTTTAAAGTTGTAAAAATTTAAAGAGTATTGTGACATATGGAAAATTATATGAAACTTAAATTGCAGCATCCACAAATGAATTTTCACTGGAAAGCAGTCATGTACATTTGATTGTGTACTGACTAAGACTGCTTCAGAGCTGCAATGAAGAATTGGTAGTTACTTCAGATAACAGTCTGCAAAGCCCGAAATGTCTGCTGTCTGACCTTTGTATTGAAAGTTTGAAAATACTCCCTAAAGAGTTATGAGAGTGATGCTGTAGCCATATTAAGGGGGTCTAAGGGCTCCTTCGGGTCTGGGAGTAAACACCGCCTTTGTGCTTGACTGCAAAGTATTAATAACATTGGAAGATACAGGTTTGCCAAGCCCATCACATAGAGGAGTTAGAGCTATGTGCATCAGAAAAATTCTATCTGATTATTGCATTTGGGAACCACATAAAAGTATGATTTTTTACTTAAACAACCAGCAGCTCAGAGAGTAGCAACTTGCTGTTAGATTCCTCACTTGGAATCAGTTGGCTCTAAACTTTGCTGCGTTAGTAAATTAGATAATCAGTGATGTTTAATGGAGAGGGGCCAGTGGAGTATTTAGAAAGAGTATGAGGAAGAGAGATAGAGAAAAGGAGTGGGTGGAAAGATGCCCCACTCTTCA